CCCTATAGAACAGATCTGGTCCGAAGAGCCCCCCAACAGCAGTTTGTCAGCTCGGAATTTTGCAAAGCTCATCAGAGCCTACTAAGTCCCGACTGTCTCGCCGCGATGCTTCGATTGAATCCCTGGAATGGACATTCCTATGAGTCTGCAATTTCTACTGGAAACTGAGAGATATCAGAGCTTGCTCTCCTTAGCCAACTAGACAATGAACATCGCCTTGTTCCATCTGCTCAGCTTTATGACCATATACAAATTCCTTCTCTACTGAGGAATTTTTAACTCCAGTCACATATTAGTTGCTAACCTCTAAAAACTATATTAAAGAAAGATGAAATGTTTCAGAAAACATCAGTCTAATTCTCCCTCTCCCCATATCAAATTTTAGACCAGATACTTTATCACAAGGAGAGTGTCCTTCCTGTTTAGAATCTAGTGCAGATTTGGCACTTAACCAGCATTATTTGTATTAGGAAATTTTAATTTCCACCAAATTCATGGACACTGTGGCTTGATCACAGCTATGCAAATTTCCAGCTTGTTCCCTCTCCTTCCTTGCCATCAAAAAGAAAACACTTTTTAACGTTCCAAGGTGTCATGTGGCAGCAAACAACCTTGAATGTGATAAACATGACTGCCTTTGATGATAAAATGCAAGAGAGTGTGTACACACACATACACAGACACACTTCCATTGAAGATAAAATAGAATGGAAAAGAGAGCCGTATGTATACACAGAGACACGCTTCAATTCCATTTTATCTTCAAAGGCACACAAAGACATACACACAAACATATTTCATAATGATTGTTTGGCTATTTCTTGTCTATTATACCGAAGCAAATCATTTGTAGGCTTAAAGGTCAAAGTTCTGCACGTAGGTGATATGGCTCATCTGGCAACCCTGAACTTTTGTTCCGAGAACAGCACCTACGCTGCTGGGCAAGCTGCCAAGACAGCTGCACCCACATAAAACTCGGCACTGCTAAGATGAAAGAAATCTGTCTTTATCAGAAAGGGGTTTGGTTTACCACACCTCTTCCTCATTTTCTCTTTTCCTTTCAAAATCTATAATTTTACTTTTATTACCCACAAATCTTTATAGTTATCTGGTATCTTGAGGATGCATTGATTTTTTAAAAATTATTACTGATTCTAGGAAGTTTTAAAGATACTTTAGGAAGAGCTGAAATGACAAAATGTACTCAATTAATTATCAAGCAGCATTACTCACTAGGGTAGGTTGTGAAAGCTGTCAACCCATCTTCTTCCCAAATACTAGTACATCGGCCTTCTCTTGGCAATATTGATTTCAGCTATACAGGTAGTCCTTGACTTACACCAGGTGACTTATGACCGTTTTTCACACTTATGACCATTGCCCCATCCCTATGTCTTGTGATCAAAATACTCCACCTGGCAACTGACTTGTATTTATGATGGTTGCAGTGCCCCGGGGTCATGTGATCACTTTTTGAGTCCTTCTGACAAGCAAAGCCAATTAGGAAATGAGATTCACTTAACAACCATGTTACTAACTTAACAACCGCAGTGATTTGCTTAACAACTGTGACAAGAAAGGTCATAAAATGGCAGAGTCATAAGAAGGCAAAACTCACTTAACAACTGACTCGCTTAGCAACAGAAATTTTGGGCTCACTTGTGGTTGTAAGTTGAGGACAAAATGTAGTCTAACACAGCTAAAGAACAGCAGAATGGGTAGAAGTTTTCTCCTCCATATATCCTTCAAACAAAACTAGCTTTTTATGCATATGCTGTATATCTTCCTAACTTTTCTCTGTGCAGATCTTTCTCTAGTACCAAGGGAGATTCTATCTCCCAAAGCATAGGGTTCTCTTCTGGAGCTTTAACAAACAATCAGAACAACAGAATTAGCATGAATAATTGTGGTATATGGATCTCTGATTTATGACAGTGTCCAATTACTTTGCATACTGTTTTTAAATGTGGTGATTTCTGCTTAAAATATTTTAGATTGTTTAAGATACTCTGAGCCATGGTTTCCCAGTTCTCCTTTGGGAAACTCAAGACAGGAGGCAGGGTTCCCCTTTCAGGCTATATCAGTCTGTGCCAGGGACCACGGTTGCAGGCTCAGAGCTGTATTCCAAAAAGGGTCCAAAATAAAAGCTGCCTTTGATTTCATTTTATTACATTTACATGTAATTAAAACTGAATATTGCAGATATGCTTATTCCCCAGTCATTTATTGAATGATCTCCTATCACATTGCAAAGTAATTAATTATTTTATTCAATGTATATCAATTTGAGTCTCTGGAGCCACACTCAAGGCCTGGGAAGCCACATGTGGTCCTAGGAGCTCAAGTTGTTAACCTCCAAATATTATCTCCAATTCCATGTGTAACATTAGGAGTTATTCTGGAAATTGCAATCCAGCAACATCTGAACAGCCTTGTATTGCCTATTGCCCATATTCTGATTAAGGCTATTAGCCTTGCCTAAGTGAGGACTGCACAGTGTTGATGTTTCTTCCATCCTGTTCTGCAATTTGCTGAAAGTATGTGGTCACAATGGGGTAGTCCTACCAGTTCAACAAGCAGCATGTTAAGTCCAGAAAAAAGACATCAGAGCAAAGAATATAACTTATTCAAGGAACAGATCTATTGGTTGATCAAGATACTAAATTCTAGATTTCGGCCATTTTTTTCTTTAAAGGTCAAGATTTATAAATGTAAAAGTATATACAGGAGCTTGAGTTGTAAAAAGCTGGCAACACCCTGATCTAGGCTGTCTGAATGGCTATTCATCACCATTTCTATGATAATTGCTACCTTGGGGGAAGAATGTACTCCTGGTGTTGTTTTTTTTTTGGTCTTCTTCCTGCCTTCCATAGTTGTGTCCCTTGATCTGCCCTCTTGGCATTTTTGCAGCCTACTTTGCTTACCATACTATTTTTTTATAGTAATTGAATTTCTAGTAATAACTGCTTGCTTTATGTTAGCATGCCTCTCCCTGCCTCCATTAACAGCCAGCTGGGAGAAGTATACATTCACAAACACACACACACAAACACACACCCCAAGCCAATTGACATCCACACTGGCTCTAATAGTAGAAGGTACATCACAGGGGTGGGTTCTACTTACCTTTACTACCAGTTTGCAACAGGGTCGCCTGCGCTTCACTCGTGCGCGCGTCTTGCTTCTGCGCATGCGCAGATCGCCAATAATGACATCTGGAGCGGTGGGCGGGGCCTCCTGCCGGTTTTACTACCAGCTCTTGCGAACCAGTCCGAACCGGGGGCAACCTACCACTGGTACATCAGCGTAATGGGATATATCCTAAGAAAGAGGGATAATAGATATTATCTCTTTGTAAGGTTTGCTTATGTGGTTTTCAGTTTGGGGAGGAAAAAATAACTTCAAATCATGTTTTGCTCAATCCCACTCAATCTCATAATCCCCTTTATCATGCTAACACGCAAAGGTGACTGGTGACAATTTAACTTCAGCATTATTTTCAAATTAAATTTAATCTGGTTTTAGACCCCACCCAAGGTCTAAGTTATTTGTTTAAGGACATACTTAGGGGAAAAATATGGGACAGATGGTCCCAAACCTATCTTCATAAAAAAGCTGCTTTTGAATTTAAGCATACCATATTGTAAAAGCAAGCTCTGTCTTGTCTGACCGTTAACATATCCTTGAACATTCGACCTATTCTTAACTTGCTGGAAATTGTCAGGGCATACAAAATGGGAACAAGTTTTTACAAGCAAAAGCCATTTTTAAGTGTACAATAAATGGCTCATTTCCCACCCACCCCCTTCCTCCTTTACCAATTAAAATAGAACTATTTTGAACTATTTTAAAATATGTGCTAGAAATGAAAGTGGCACTAAGAACTGTACTCCGCTTTGAATGTGTAAACTATTTCCTCTTTCACCACCGCATCCTGTACGTCATTTGATGGTTTTGTCAGTTACATTCAGATAAAAGTAGTTTAGAGCTGCTTAAATTCTTAATATTTATTATTTTTTTTAAAGCCAGAGAGGTAGGATACATTATTTGTGATCCCAACTCCTAGATATGAATGGTTGGGTCTTTTCAGCAACAATGATCTATAGCAGTATGGCCCCTTTATGACCAATTCATAGCTGGCCAGGGAATACTGGGAGTTGAAGTCCACAGGTCATAAAGGGGCCATAGTCCCCCATCCCTGCTCTAAAGGGTCTTCTGTGATCCTTTCCTCAGAGGCTTTTTAATGCTTTGTCTTCTGCAATTCCACATAGGTTGCAATCTTACATCATGCTAAACTATGTTATTTAATTGGTGAATGGCTTGTTGTGTTGTGAATCAAGCCATTGGAGGTTAACTTAGTTTAAGCATTTTATTGGAGCTCAGTCAACTGAGTTTAATAAACCATAATTGAACTAAATCATGATTGTTTCATGTGTGAACCTGATCACCAAACTGTCTGCTGAGACATCCTGACTCATTGTAGCTGATCATAGGACATGTCCATCCTGGTGGTCTAAGTTTGCATACATATCCATGTGAGCTAAGAGCCATGGTGGTACAGTGGTTAGAATGCAGTATTGCAGGCTAACTCTGCTCACTGTCAGGAACTCGATTCCTTCAGTTTCTGACTGGCTCAAGGTTGACTCAGCCTTCCATCCTTCTGAGATTGCTAAAATCAGGATCCAGATTGTTGATGGCAATATCCTGACTCTGTAAACTGCTTAGAGAGAGCTGTAAAGCACCATAAAGCAGTATATAAGTGCTATTGCTATTGCTACATAAAATTCAGTAGAAAATAAATAATAGTAGATGTAGCATTTTAATAGAAGAAGAGGAAGATGGGGTACTGTTTTCTCTAAACTCTTCTCATAAGGCAGAAACAGAAAACCCTTTATTTCTAAGCATGTTTCACAGTACTTGGGATACAATTTCTTTAGAAGGAAATGATAGAAATTCTATTGTGTTTGTATGTTATAATATTTCATGATACATTTATACAGGCTGAGCAGTGGGAAAAGGCTCACAACATTGGCTTGCCAACAGATTCTGTTCCCTATCAGCCATAATGGAATCATTATACCAGAGAATTAAGGTAATTTCCTTTTAAAATCCACTCCAGCACAAATTGATTTCCTACGACACTCAAGATTTCAGTAACCTATTAATGTTCACTACAATATCATTAATGTCTACGATATCTTTAGTCATTTTAGCTCAGATTTCTGCATCCCACCAATACTATCACCTATCTTTTTTCAGGTCTTAAGAAACATTCCTTGCAGCCATCCATTCAGATACATGTCCTTATGTCCCCTATGATCCTGTCCTTCCACCTGAAACAGTCTATATCCGCCTTCCCCAATCTAGTAGCTTCCAAATATATTGGAACTCTATTTTACAGAATGGTGAGAACTGTGGGGCTACAATCCCTTTCCTACCCACAATATAAGCATTGCTAGGATGCTGGGTGGTATGGTGCCATTACTTGCTCAGATATTGCTACTGGCTGAGTAACTATCAATCTGGATGTGCCATAATTCCATTGACACTCCTTCATGTAACTGGTCTTGCATCAGTCTTATTGTAACCACCATACTCATATGTGTTTTGCAATATTTCTCACCACACACTCCCTGACTCTTCATAAATGGGAAGCACCACTGAGAATTGCTTGTTTAATTAATCTTCAGTATTTATTTATTTATTTATTTATTTATTTATTTATTTATTTATTTCATCTGTCACCCATTATTTATCAGTCACCCATTTTACCACAGGATAACTCTGGCCATCTTACAATATTAAACAGATAAAACTATATAAATAAAATACTACAAAAATATAAATATATAAAATACAAAAACTAAAAGTTGGAGAGGGAGGGAGTAGGATGAGTGGGGTGGTGGGAGAGTATGTGGGAACTGTTATTAATCTATCAATTACCCCCAACACGAAGCCCCTCCTTTGGAGCCCCAAGCCCTCTGTAGAAGGTCAAGAGGGTTGGAACTGACCTTACTCTGGAGGGGCAGAATGATGGCAGAGAAGGCTCTTCTCCTGGATTCCGACAGCCACAATACCCTGCAGCATGCCTCCTCTGCCAGAATGGTGAGGTGGGCCAATTCCAGTGGGATGACATGGTCCCACAAGTAGCCTGGACCCATATCATGAAGGCCTTTAAAGATACCAATACCTTGAATTGCACCCAGAAGCAAACTGGCAGCCAATGCAGCTCATAGAGCAGTGGTATTACACAGACCACTCTTGGGCCCCCCAAAACTGCCTCCACTGCTAACACTCTATACCAGCTGTAGCTTCTGAATGCTCTTCAAGGGTAGCCCCATGTAGAACACATTGCAATAGTCTATATGTAAGATGACTAGGGCTTGAATGATTGAGTGCAAGAACTCATATATATCACTTGAGCACATACTTTTCAAGAATTCATCCTGATCAATGTAGAGAACAAGATATTAAAATAAGTAAATACCAAGGAACTGAGTCATTAGTCTACTGGAGGCAGGCTGATGACCTGTGAGAAGCACAACAGAATGCTGAATCAGAGCACATGATTTTATGAGTGAAATTTAGACTGGATCAAGTTAACATCAGCCATCATTCTAGTTACCAAGAAGCCACATTATGATTCTTGGGAAATATACACTGTTAAATTAGTAAGATATTTTCTTAATCCTTGGAATTATTTGACAGGATGACTATGAAAGAGAAGAATGGATGAGAGAAGTAGAGAGAATGTAGAATCATATAGAAGGTTAATTTTGACTTTGTTTAGCATTTTAAAAAACTTAAAATGAACTATTAGCAATCCTCCTGAACCTTCACAAGCCTGACTTTTTGTGTGCCAGTTTAACTCTTGAAAGAAGCAAAGAATAGGAAGGTTCTGTTTGCCCAAGGAGATGAGGGAGGAAAGGGGCATAACTGCTGATGAATGAGCCAATGGAATCAGGGCCAATTCTAAAGATTTGTCTTGTGGTTGCCATTCAGTTAAAAATTATTTTCCCAATATTTAGACAAAGATATCAATAAAGCTGTTGACATGGTTCTCTTGATAGGTATGTATGGATTCAAAACCTTAAGTAAACTTGTCTTCCCCCTAAACTAGAAATGGGCAGCCAATGGGTTCTAAGCCTATATGTTGTCCTCAGCCAGAAATATCTACAGTATTTGGTAAAAAAAATTGGCATGACAGCTACAACAGTGCAATCAAACCTCTATCTGGTTTGTATACGTGTTGTGGATTCTGGGAGCACCCTTGTGCCTCAGATGCATTTCACGAGACCCTTACATGAATTTCAAATATACTCTGGGTTGGCTGGGTTTGTACAACATGTTGGTCAAAACTGAATAGACTACTGAGTCTTAGCATAGTGTTGGAATCCAGCTAACTTGTTTTAGTCTGCATATTACATCAAGTAACAACTGCAATCAGTAAGTTAAATCAGTTTGGGCTTGGTTTGAAGGAATAAGGGTTTATTCATTAACCTCATTTTCACAATTTGGTAAGCCAATCCTATACTCTAATGAGTGACATTAATCAATAAAATGAGCAGAATTTAAAAAAGAAAAAAATAGTTCACACTTCAGGGGTCCTCAACCACGGCATGCCAGAAACCGGACATGCAAACAAGCTAGGCCCAATCCATGGGATGCAGGCAGCACACGAAACCATGCCCCCTGCAGTCCATGGAAAAACCTCTCTCCATAGAACAGGTGTCTGGTGCCCAAAAGGCCACTGGTATAGATGCAGTTTGCTTGGTTATGATTAAGTATATCATGTGAACTCAAGCCAAATGTTATTTATTTCAGACTATAGTTCAGTCAGTTTAGTCAAGACTAGAAGCAGAAACTGTGAGTTCTGATCCTGCCTTAAAATAAAGCCAGCTGGATGACTTTGGGCCAGTCACCCTCTCTCAACCTTAGAAAGGAGGCAATGGCAAACCAATGATGCCCAGAAACTACATGTGCCCATGCAACCACCAGGAGACAAGACTGACTGGAAGGCAAAAAATAAAAACCAAGCCATGTCTTAATATGGTATAATATTCTCATCAGAGAAACTAGAGGCAGAAAACAGAAATATAGGACACCTTTGCCAGCATTGGCATGCAGGTTTTGACAGAAAAATAAAAGTTTGCACACCCTTCACCAAATGCTAGGGGATATTTGTTGCTATATTGCAATAACTGTACACATACTCAGATCAACTACGCAGTAGTTTACCAATGTCTTTAAGCAGACTTAGACAAATTAGTAGTTTTCCTACTAAACCTTCTCTGAATGAGGTTTTAAGAATAGACCCAATCTGTTTGTTTTGGTAGGTAACAAACATGTGACCACAGAGAGTGAGAACTAAAAGGTGCCTGCTGTCTCTCCATTGTGACCCTCTACTTGCTGAGAGTGAATTTATACAGCTAGGAGTTTTTCCTTGGCTGCAAAAACTCCTTTAGTGATTTTGAATCCTAAGAAGTCTAATTTCTAAATCCTGCTGAAAGTCTGCATGGATGAAAATCAATACCTGATGCAGAAGCTGTGAACATTGCAAAATGGGTATATATTAATATCCAGATGATTATAAAAGGAAGAGAGAAAAGAGAGCTTGAATATGCACAGTATAGATCCCTCTGGCCTTATATCTGTTATTTGTAAAACTATAACATTAAAACAGTTCTGAGTAGCTGGTTCAACGCAGTTGCTCAGTAACTAGTAGCCAAAATAAAAAAAGCAAGCATCTTGTAGACCTCAGTAACCATTAAACAGCATGATTGTTTAGTGAGAAACATTTAATTGCTATATGAGACTAGCTCTCAATGTACTAATGTATATGAGTTCATCAATGGAAGTGGAATTTTCTTAAAAAGTTTAGAGCAGACCCAGAATAGATTTCACTTAAAGCTAAATTTCCTTTGCCTTTAACCTAATTGGGAAATAACACCAGCAGAAGCTTTTATGAGTCCCCATGGTGATTTGCATTAGTGTCATGGATCAGCAAGGAAGTGTAATCATTCCTGACTAAGCCCTGATTAATTTGGACGAGCAATTCTTTAGTTGCACTTGGAGACCACTAGGCCTTTTGCTTCTTCTCTGAGATTGGTATTTTGAACATTTGGGCTACTCAGTCTGTCCCGTGCAGGGAAATTCATAGTTTAGCTATTACAAATCATGTCCTAGGCGTTTACTGTCCACATATGATGGTTAACATCAGTTCACTTTAAACTTTGTAACTTAAGTCATGTCCCTATTAATCAGCACATGTGTTATTGTTGCTTTTTTTGTTTTAAATTTGGCCTAACTGCTTTTGCTTCCTAGCATTATTTGGGTGGGGAGGGGTGGGGATTTATGTTTTTCTGTTATCTGGTCTCCAGTGATTATTTATATACTGATATTGATTGATTGATTGATTGAACATTCAGCTACACCATAAGAATGGCACACTTCCAAAACTGAGCATGTTACCTTCTGTACCACTGAGCAAACAACTGTCCCATTCCTGTCCTTCAAAAGTTGAAAAGGCACAGGGTGAAAGGAGAGGACAGCACTATTAGGTGTCAGGAAAGTCTGTATTTGTAAGTTTGGTTCTGTGATAGTATCTTGTTTACATCAGAGGTTGGTGATTTGGGTGATAAGTAAGTCCTAATGCCATAGAATAGATCGCATGCTACATAAGAGTACTTGTTCCTTAGCAGCAGTAAGATACTTATCCATATAGCTGAATCCAGTGCAAAAGAGCCGTGCAGACAATCGGAAACTTACCACAGGACCGTTGGTATTCTGAGACATGCAGACATGATTTAAGAATTTTTTTTCAAGAAAAAGTTGTTCTGAGATAGATATTAATACTATAAAATATGTTATGTATTTTAAATACAAATGCTTTTATTCTTATTAATGCTTTTGGTTATGCAGTGGTGGGATTCAAATAATTTAACAACCGGTTCTCTGCCCTAATGACCGGCTGGGTGGGCGTGCCCATGGTGGGCATGGCGAGGGGGTGTGACAGGCAGGAGGCACCCCCCTGGGAGCAAAAATGGGCCATGGGGGGAGGGTGCCACACCCTCCCAGGCCCTGTTTTGGGCC